AGAATGAGAAATAACCAGATAATATCCTGGGATAAATTGTTTGTGGAACAAAAATTGCGGGCAAAGATATTTCACATTTCGACGACACTCATTTTTCATATTTGTGCAGCACATCGTACCATCGACCTAGAAATGATTAATTAGATTTGCTGGGCCCTCATTTATCAGAATTACGGGACGAATAGTCAACTTTTTATCAATATAATATAACCTCAAAATCTCTTGTGGTTTTTATATTGCTCATTTCATTAAAATGTCATATTCTGGCGAAATTGGATAAATAATTGTTGGATAATTTCACATTTGAACTGGAATTACTCTAATTTTTTTTCTTTTTTTTTATTGTTGCTATTCGTTTATACACTTACAATTTCAAAACTAAAATCGTCAACTTTTGATAATGTCGATAAATAATCCTTTGTTTGGAAATCTTTGGTGTCTAAATTTCCTTTTGATTTGAGTTAAAGACGCTTTATATCAAGTTAACTACTTTGAATAAAGTTTTCCAAGCATGTAATGTTACTCTAACTGTAAATTTTTGTGTCCGTTGCGTGAACTAACTTGAGAAGAATTTCAATATTCTAACGCCAAGTATTTTTCATTGAGAAAAGCTGAGCAATAAAAGCTGATTAAAGCTCTACTGCTTGTCGTTCTGTTCAAATTATAAGGCGAAAAAAACAAGACATAAAACTATTAGCTAACAATCAACAATAATATAAAAGTGCGTCTGTGAGTCGTTTTATTCTATTCTTGTTGCATTTTTTAGTATTTTCGCTGTGTTCACTGACTACGTAAGTAAAATGAGTTGTTTTTCTCTTTTCTTTCTTTTAATAATGTTTGAATCTATTTGTATTCTTCCACAGCGTGAGACCTTTTATTTTAGTATCAAAAATAATACCTTCATTTTAAGTATTGTTATCTTATTAAAATATTGCTGTTTTATTGTCCCAGAAGTACATAACCATTTCTGATTTTCATCTATGGGTTCAATAACTGATAATATTTCTCGTTGTTTAGTTCAGTTTATCGAGAGTATGGCACTTATAGCCTCGGTTCAATCATATATTTTTCTGTTGAGAAGTCACTTTTACATCCTTGACTTTGTGGTTTGAAATACAGAATTAAAGGGGATTTCTTATTTTGATAACCTTTCCAAAGGTTTCTTTTGAACTCAGATTTTCTTTATAGCTACACCATTCATTTAGAGTCTCTTTTTCCTTGAAAATTCCCGTAATGTCTAAATAAACATCGTGCTTTCTTTGTCTCTATTTTTAAGCCCATATTTCCCTAAAATTGTTCAACTTAATGAACTGACTTCTAGTTTTCATAATGTCAAAATGAAGAAGTAATTCCGAGTAGTTAGGACAGCTCATTACTCTCAAGGCCTGTCTAATCAAAAGACCCTTTAATTTACCTAACATATTACCCTGAAATTTCCTATAGCATATTTGCCCATTCATTAAGACCCATGATATCTACTTCGATCAATGTTCACAATCAAGTACAAAATAGTTAGTACATGTCGTCAAACCCATCTAGGGCAATTAACAAGGCTATTACAATGCCCAGACCATTGTAGTTATCGCGTTTTATGAAGTAGTACTAATTGTCTTCGATTAATTGCCTTAATTGACACGGTGATGGCCGGAATTCGCTCCACTTATCGATTGGGACATTTTTAGCTTTGACCTAGATAGACTTAAGAACTTATTGGAGTTTTAAGAAACCCGCAAATTATCGAATTAACAACGGAAATTAGAGGGTATTATCTGGTACACAAGTTAGGAGAGTGAGCTCCGAAAGCTAATGAAGGCTTCCTTGATTTTTGAGTTCGAAGGGAAACTTACCGTTAAGTTCAATTAATGTTGAAGTACCTCGACGCCAGAAAGCACGTTTAATTTTAGATTAATCTTACCCCAGGACATGTTTTGAGATAACTTTTTGATCGAATGTAAAGGATAATTGTTATGAAGTAGGTTGAAGTGTGTTGCCGTTGTATATTAAAGACCTTCACTGCAAAATGGGAACTATCAGTGAGCTTTTGGGAAATTATTTCTTAATCTTTTAATGTGTTTAAATATAGACCTATACTTGCGCGCAAGGAATATTTTTTTCGTAAATTATTATTGTTTATAAAGAACAATTGTAAACAAACTTTAGAGGGAGTAAAGTGCACATAACATTCTCTAGTATTACTCATAGTTTTCCCGACAGAAATTAAAACCTTCCGTTATATTAGGAGTCAACACTCTTGAAAATTTCAAAACAAACATCTCAGCCAACGTTTACAGAGGCAAAGATTCAAGTGGGAAGCGGAAAATTTAACTCTAAAATGCCGTTGCCTTTATTTGTGTTATTTATTAATTTTTCTTTTGAATTATGTGGTCAAATATAATAAACATCTAGGGCGGATTTCCTGGTCCAGAAATTAAGTCAATTTCAAAATTTCTTTGATCAGAAAACATAAATATTTTCAAATAACTAAAGGGGAGGTTTTGAACATGTCTTTGTTTTTTTAAGAAGTGACTTTTCTTTACACGCCCTGTTTACCGCTATGCCATACGATCGCAGACTCATACAGACAAAAAATATCCACTAACTGCAAAAGAAAGCATACAAGAGTGATGTTGAAACGCTCCCTCCCCTCCCCCTAAAAAAAACAATCCCCCACCCTACCCCAAAGAAACACACTTATTACTAGCGCAATGCCATGTTTGGATTAAAGGAACATTGACTACCATGATCCCTTGCGCAACTATCAAGATGTATAAATTAAGGATCCAGTACCTCTATAGTGTAACGTAATGTATTAACATATTACATAATAAAAAGCCACGAAAGCTTTGAAATTTGCTTTGATCGATTCGTTATTTCCACTTAACAGCGTGTGTTTGTTCCGTTAGCTGGACTTAGCGTAGAAATCTTCATTTGCCGGTATTGTTTTGGGTTATTTTAGGCACAATACAGTAGAAAATTTTCAGGACTCTGAAGATGGTTAAGAAACTGAATTTATAGTCAGTGGCCTCGCTGTGATTTCTATTGATCTAAGTTATTTTGAAATTATTTTTAACGAATACTAAATGTTCTCACTCCGAGACCCTGTCAAAGTCAAGTAACCATAGTTCCATTCGGCCGTTCGTTCTCCATTCGTCAATTTCTACTCTAAATTCTCTCCTGCAAACTTTTTCAAAGTGTGTAAACTTCAAAGCGTCCGTCTTTGTTGTGCGTAAGAAAATTTGCAAGATAAATATGTATAAATATTATTATTGTACCCCTTTGTCAGTATTATTCTTTTCTTAATTATTTCTCTCAAAATATCAAACTTATGTTTTAAATTTCAATATTGATACCGCTTTTAATAATAACAATTGAATAAAACAAATATTTATAAAGTTTGTATTTTAAACTCGAAAACTGTATGTACTACTAATACGAAAATTTTAATATCAACAAAATTCTCTTGTTGATATCTTTTCCCTTTAGCCACTTAGTCTAATGTTATGATTTCTAAAATAACTCTAAAAGAACTCCTGTAAACACGGGAAGTTATAATGGAAGTCTTTAAAATTGTTTTTTATTAATAGAAAAGGCAATAAAAATTGACAAAGGAATTGCTCGAGTCCTACAGAGAGCTGTAACACGTTACCCAAAACATAGCTATGTAGTTATCTAAATAATTCAAACGAATGTCTTCATTTAATTAGTGTTATGGTGTCTAAATTTTGTTTTTGAAACTGTGGAATCAAACAGGACGAAAGACCGACGTTGAGTTTACATTTTAGTATTGTAAGCTTTGACATAAGTATTTTTATTGCTGGAATTGGCTAACAGAATGTATGAATCAGAGATGCCGCGCGGAATGAAAGCGAAAGTGAAACGAGATTTAAACTGAATCAAATGGACTATTGTTATTTGATAAATATTGAAGAATAAGGAGACATGAAGAAATGGAAATTTTGAATTTGAAATAAAGCCTTTTATACGGCTTAATAATATTCATCAATGACTGAAACAGAAACTTCTATTTACTAATTTATAATTCGCGAAATGGGGAGACGTATGAAAGAATGACAGAACAAATAAATGAATGATTTTACGATGAACGCGCTTGAACTGAAGAGGTTAATGAGCCAACGCCGGTCTTGAAAGCGAAAAGCAAGTTATAAAAGTCATTTGAAGTCTGTACAAGAACAAATATAGCAAAATTCCCTTTTTTTCCCGTGTGAGAAATTCCCGTAGGGGAATTTCGTTCACTTAGGGATCAAAATTTCACATGTTTTCCTTTTAAAAGAAGTCTGTAATGAACACTGATTAATAGGGTGTTTAATGTAATAAAGCTCAAGGAAGCGACAGCGTAAATACATTTAAGTTAGATACAACAAAACACTCACCGTTATATTACTTCCTTGAGACAGAGAGAGCGTGAGAGTTTCAGGTGGTTGGAGGATATTAAAACTCCTTTCTAATATACCATCTCTTTCTTTATTTCCTGTGTATGGCGTCTGGTGAATTTAGAATGTTATTAAATAACAGAAACATGTACTTGAGAGCGAAGAATCGCAGGAAGTTTTTCATATTAGAGAACTCGTGTATTATGAAGCAGGCCCGCGGGAAACGGACTAAATCGCTTCAAAAGTAAAAAGGTCGACCTCAATGCGGCAAAATTTACCTTTTCAAAAGTCAAAATTTTAGACGAAGCAAAAATTACAAATATTGCATTGGTTGAACGTTGTACTTATCTTTGCCTTACTATATATTCAAGTTTTCATTGTTCAACGCGGAGAGTTTTGAGCTCATTTGAATAAGAGCACTATTGCTGTACTTTTGTTGCACTAAATAATATCTTTGTGCGGTTTTATAAACACCTATTTCTTACCTCCCTAGCATTTTGCATGAAACATTTTACGAGTTTAAAAACTGCTCAAAAACTTGAATATAGATCTTAATGCCCTTCGGATTAGAATTTGTAATGTGCAGCATTTTCATAGAGATACAACATATTAAAACTACAATAATAATCTTTAATAATTATAAAATAAACAATGCATATACAATAAGCCATACCTGTACACTAAAACAATGATATACTAACATAACTTTTAACAACGCTAGTGTATTATTATAGGACCTGAGTCAAACGTCGTACTTTATTGCGTCGTCCTTGAACGTCCAATTCAAATTGATCCAATTATTCAACGTAGTTTTTGTGTGGTGTGCCTAAGTAACCGGTTATAAACTGCTCATTAAGTCGTCCTTGGACGTCGAATTCAGAAGGATCCAATTAATCTAGTTTAGCAGACGCGAGTTCTCTTATCATAAGTTCATGTGTTATGCCTAAGAAAGTATATATAAACACTTCTAGTTGTCCAATTCTCTACTTTCACATTCCCATAATGCATTGCGCAATGGGGGGGGGGGGGGGGTTAAGTCTTGTTTATGACAACGAAGGTCGCCATATTTGTTTTAAAAGCTCTATAGTTACTGTCAGTTACCAGTCAGACATTGTACTTTTAAATCAACTGAATGACACTCGCGTTTAAGTTCGACTTTTAACCCAGAGCCAGAGGTTATTCAAAACAGCTAATATATCATGAAAAATATTTTGTACTCAATTTTAATACTCTAAACGTTTATTGAAGTACAAATCAATCGTAATGTTCGTAATTAAACCTCACGTCAGAAGTTGTACTTTTAAATCAACTTAATGATACTCACGTTAAGTGCGACGTTTGACCCAGACACAGAGATTATTGAAAACAGCTAATATATCATAAAAAATATTTTGTACTCAATTTTAATACTCTAAACATTTATGGAAGTACAAATCAATCATAATGTTCGTAGTTAAACCTCACGTCTCTCGGCCTTGATTCATACATTCCATCAAAGTCCACGTTGTCCTGGTCCTCGTCGTCAGTGAATAACCTGGCTTTGTTGTTAACTTGCGTTTTTTTAGCGTTTTGCCTAGACTTGAATTTGGGATTTAAAATTGTATCGCAGCCTGAACCTTTCGGATCGATGGTACAGTCAGTAAACTTCTGAAGGTGAGCTTCAAGATAACTTAGTGGAGATGATCCCTGAGAAAGAACCTGGGGAGAAAAAAAAACCACACGATTTAAAAATGATAGGGAGTGGTTTCCATACATCCGTGAAATACACTTGAACCAACTACTTTGATAGAGCCGACGCTCTTGAAACTTAAACATTACAAGGTAGAGTGCACGTCACATAAGCATGAAACAATTCTTAATATGTATTGCTAAATAAGATTTAGTTATGAACTAGTAACTAAGAATTCAACAAAGCATAAACACAATGCCAATTATTTAAATTCCTTTGTAGCATTGTTCTCAATTCTTAGTTAGTTGATAACTAAATCTTATTTAGCACTACATAGTTAAGAATTGTTTCATGCTTATGTGACTTGCACTCTACTATTAAATCACGCTAATTCTTTTGTTTTCTATTGCTTAATTTGTTTCACGGATTAGGGGCGTTCCCTTTACTTCTTTGTTATATACTTCATTACTGTTTAACATATACGTTAATTGCTTTTTAGTTGGTACTCTTTGTTTCACGGTTTTATATAAACCACTACGATATTTCAGGAGTTTTAATAATGCGCTCGTTATAGAATAGTTGATAAACCCGTTAGATATAGTTTAGCACATCTGGCACTGCATACTGTTACTACATTATCTGATTCTTTTATCTTTCTTTCGTACATTTTGTTGCTTAACGGTTTTTTGGCAACCAAGTCAAAAAACAATCTTGAAAAGAAAGAAATGAATAGTATTCACTAATTTAAGTTCAATGTCCACTCACTAGCTATCTGTACTCGTGCACAATTCAATTGTATATACATAATCATAAATTGTGTTTGAAAAGGAAAAAAATAAAATTACCTGAAAATGGAAATCCTTTTCATTGAATTTCTTTCCATTTTGCTGAAGTTTCGTGGTGGTATCATTGCGGTAGTTCCATATCGCTAGTTGACCAATCATGTATGCCGTAGCCTGGCCTGGGTCACTTTGGTAACGAGTGACGTCCTTGATGGCTTTGTCTGTGCGATCCCAGGCATACTTTGCGAACAGCTCCAGGGCTTCATCTCTAGTCATTCCTAATGTAGAATATATCGATATTTACTCGATTAGTATACAGTCATGATCTCTCAGAGACTCTTTACTCACGATCATCGCGCAGTCGACCCTTTATTGTACAGCCCTCTATTTAGCGGCCAACCTACATAACGCGCCAGTCACACCCATAAATTCCCCAAAAGTCAATTCCATATACATTTACTGCGAACGTGATTTCTATTAAACGGTCAACCTCTGGTCTTTCCCCAAGAAGATGACCGCTTAATAGAGGTTCGATTGTTCTTAACTCACGCAATAATATCGTGATAATATCAATATACCTCTATAATGCAGACCCGTATCGATAATAAGTCGAAGAGCGCGCCATATTTGCCATTTCAGCATGCCATATCTTTGTATCGGTAAGTCGTCGTAGATATTTGTCTCTTGGTTGATAAGTGGATTCTCTGCGTACAAGGCCCAGCCCTCTGTAAAGGCAGTGTAATAGCTAACACCATTCAACCAGCTAATAACATCACCACGATCATCGCTGAACAACTCGGTAAAAGCGTGGACCTGAAAAAAAATTGGGTATTTTTTACTTTTTTCCACGCCATCGTCCATGCCTGGTATTATACAATACAAAATCAAAAAATTACGCGTCCGTATTGAGTGCGTAAATTTTACGTAAGGGAGTTATTTGCGGTCCGTTCCGGGAATCCGTAGATATGGTCTAACTGGCGCTTTACGGATTGCGGAAAAAAGCAGAATGGGACACTTTACGTATTCCCTATATGGACCATACGTGTGCTCTTTCCGTTATGTTTAAGTACCAATTGTACTTGAACGTAAATCCGTTAAGGGTTCATATTTGTTACGCATAGAGCACGTAAGCGTAAATCATTGATACGTTTTGTGCAACGTTTACATGTAGAAATGGGGGAGATTTTACTCTGAGTACAATAAGTTTGTTTACTTTAATAGTATACTATCTTGTTACCTGAGTGTGGTGCCCGGGTCTCGCCTCGTGAGCGGCCACAGAATATGCGTTATATCTGGGACCATGATCCTTAAGGTAAAACGGTAGACGATATCTGCACGGACGCGTGCAGGCCTTATCACTGGACTGGTAACTCTGTGAGCCTGTTCCAGGGTTAAAGTTTGCAACTAGTTGGACTGGACAGTTGGGTTGACTTTGCTTTTGACCTGTATAATAGAACATTCGAACTTGCAACGGGGCGAGAAGAGATAGCACACCTGTAATGACAATGCATGACGAACTTTAAGTTATATATCATTATTGAAAGATTCATTTTCTCTTGACATAATATAGACATTGTATAGAAAATGCGCAATTTCTGAAGTTCCACGATGGCCGCAATCGTAGTATTTGAACAAATATGGTCAGTTAAATTCACAGTTCCTCCCAGAATAAAAACAATTTTTGGGAAGAAAGGATTTCGTGAAAGAAAAGAAACAAATTACATACCATTTACATATTCAAACCATTTCAACATCGAAGCATATCTCGCTGGACAATATATCTTTGCACTCGCCATATCAACGCATTTTTCGAATGCTTCGTTGTTGGACTCGTTCAAAGGAATTGGCTTGTCATTGAAAAACATCGATTGATCCTCGAGTTTCTTCTTAAACTCCACAACTGCTTCATCGCTGTCATTCAATCCTGTTATGGTCTTAGCAATTTCTACAGCTTGTGGATATAACTGGTTAAGCATTTTCCAGCCAAGTTGGTCTACCTCGTCAGGGGTCATATCTGTTGTAGTGAAATACGGCAAAATGCCTTTGTAGGCGTCTTTGCCGCTTAATTTTTCTCCGAAAGGAAGGACTTTTGTGGTCGTTTCATTCGTTTTGTTTCCTTTGAAGTAAACATAATCCAAAGGAAGATTTGCAAGTCCACTGGAAACATTAGACGGGACACAGTACTGCGAATGGTTGAATTCCAGGTATTGAAGTAGGTTATAGACAGGTTGACCAACGTATTCAACCAAAGAATCGTCGATGGATTGTTGAACGTCTTTGCCATGCTTGCTGTTCCAGGATGTTTTGGTATCAGAGTTGATTTTCGCGTACCATTCAGGGTTTCTCATTTGTTTCACATAGCTTGAATTCAGAATTCCTGTTTATAAATACGAAAATATTGCTTAGTTTTAAAGACAAAATCAAAAAGGGCGTGGCTATCGTAATGCCTTGGTTTATAAGATGTTTTTAATGACATATTAAGATATAATTGAACTTTTTAATGATACATGTATATTTAAAAAATATATATATCATATATTAAAATATATCATCACTACCCATTAAAAGAACATATTACAATGAATAAGATCTGAAAGTTTTAATGAAAATGCATTTGCATTGCAAAATGATAGACATTATATTTAAAAACATCAATTACTTTTGGAAACAACAATGACTGATAAAACAAATGTCAGAGGTTCCTGATTTTGTTTGTTTTTGTCTAGTCTAGATGTTTCACATTCTTACAGAATCTAGCGAAATGATAAATCCGAACACAGAAATCCGAACAGAAGTTCCTGACACTGAAAAAGTTGAACAATTTACAGAGTCCGTAAATATACTGTAAAATATTCAAATTATTTACAGAAAAAAAATGTCCTTTTACAAACAAATTTTTAAAAGAAATTTACAGAATGTACATAAACTTTGTAAAAAGACCTTTTGTCTGTGAATTGAATTACAGTATATTTGCATATTTATTACAAATTTTGTAAACTAATCAACTTTTCCAGTGTGATGTTTGTTTTTGTGTTTTTTGTTTTGTTTTCGTCTAGTCTAGATGTTTCACTTGTTCACAAAATGTTGAAATATAATCCAAACATACTTTCGATACTCTTAGGAGTTTTATTTCAAATCCGACACACACGGATTGTTATGATGAATGTAGACCTTATCCTCTTATCCATAACAGACATGCTATACATTTACTCTATATCTCGTGTCACATTTTTAATTAAAATGAAATAAATGCAATCCCAAAAAAAGGGGAACATGGATCGGCGGATTCATCTATTTTTTAGTGCGGATTTTAATGGCGGATTTGCGGATCGTACATAACGTAAACATTGCGGATTTGATAGGGTCCCTGGAAATAGCGTTACAAGTTACGAAGTTACAAAGTTACGAAGTTACAAAGTTACGAAGTTACAAAGTTACGAAGTTACAAGGTTAAATTCTGTTACATTTCTGTCAAGAATATGTCAACAACATGTCAACAAGCCCTTCTACTATTACTATATTATTATTATATAATTTTATGCGTTAGACATACCTGCGTTAGACTATCTTAGTCCAAAAAAACTTAAAAACTATAAAAACTAACTAACTATAAAGGGAGAGAACCAGGTCCTTTCATCGTCATAAGCCTTTGGTCAGTGACCTCTGTACTGATGTACAGATGAGTACTGTTTGTGATGAGAAGTCGCACGGTGCAAGGATGGCCACCTTTTAACCATGAAGGTCGCCAGTTTTTGAACAGTGATTACGATTGTATTTGTTATACACCCTTTTAATAAGTCCCGAGGTATTGTTTTCTCCGCACTTGACGTCAAATTTATTCTTTTGAAATTTTTCCAATACAAAAGGAATTCAAAAGAATAAATTTGACGTCAAGTGCGGAGAACGTAATACCTCGGGACTTATTAAAAGGGTGTATAGCTTTGAGTATCTTAGAAATTCACTTACTGAATTCTTGTGTATATCTTGAGTCACAGGTAGCCCAAGCTATACATTTTAACCGTTTTTAGTAATTTTGCGAAATACTGCCCCCCCCTCCCCCCTCCCCCGCTTAGTCATAATTATAACTTTTTTTAAAGCAAAGGACCAGGTTCTCTCCCTTATAGTTAGTTAGTTTATAGCCATAGTTTTTAGAAAAACAAGTTTTTTATCTAAGATAGTCTAACGCATAAGATTAAAAGTATATAATAATAATAATAATAGTAATAGCAGTAGGGCTTGTTGACATATTCTTGACAGAAATGTAACAGAATTTAACCTTGTAACTTCGTAACTTTGTAACTTCGTAACTTGTAACGCTATTTCCAGGGACCCGATTTGATAAACTTGTAGATTTTGGCGATTTTGATTGGCGGATTTGAGCGATTTTTCTTTGCGGATTCCAGTACCCCCCTGTGCTCCCTTACTGAAGTATAAAGTCGACCAACAAACGCACGTGAACCCTATTTAATAGAACTGCATTTTGACCCCTAAATAGTTAACATGTTTTCAATGATTCTCTACGATATGTTCAAACCAATTCCCATAAAATACAGCTGGAACTTTTTCATCCTCTTAGGGTCAAAGACCTTAACAAATATCTTTATTATTAGGGTGGGATTTCCTCTTCTCAGCAGGTATAGTTTGGATTTTTAAAGTCCACTGGAGTCACTCAAATGTATCATTTTAGGGTACCTACCTCTTTCACCCTCCTTCGAGATGGTCTTGAACTTCCTCTTCATTGTTAATAATCCTACTTCACATTCCTCGACAGATCTTACATATCCAGCTTTTATCCCGTACTTCAAGTTCTCAACGTATTGCGTTAGAGAGTCACTAAGGTTCTTTAAATGAGCGATCACAAACTCCAAGTCTCCTTCATTTGCAGGCTGAAATCCCGTCTTTTTTAGGTTGAAATGTGATGAAAGATCACTACCAACTCCACATATAGGCTGCCAGCAGAACAAATTAGGTCCAAGTAACCAATCACCAGCGTAGTAGTTCTCGTCGTACGGAGCTCCAAAATTACTTTGTAGAAAATGTTGAGCTTGCATAAGGGCTTTCAGTTCACGTGGTGCAAGCTTGGCGCGGTTAACGTCCTTTAACATTTTTGCCCCTTTGTTATAAAGCGACTTGGCAGCGTCCGTACGTTTCTTGAGAGCGCTTGGATGACAGTTGTATGGRCTRAATTCTTGTCTTATTGTGCTTGGAGTTGCATCGGGATTCCTGACGATGAGATTTGGGTTCATTTTGTAATACGTCGATTTTACATTCTCTAGAAATGGTCCCAAACCAACCCTTTGTGCTTCGGCCGAATAGGCTGATATGCCTCCAGATGAGGTTGTTGGCGGAACGTTGGTTGTTGGTTTAACCGTAGCGTTTTCCTCGCAAGGTTCACCTTTACGCACGACACCGACTATAATCAACGCTACACCTACAATAGCTAATACAGCTCCCACAGCTAAAACGGCGTACACAATTTTCTTTCCTTTCTCATCTGTCTTTGGATTTCCCTCGCTGATATCCAGTCTGTAGCCACTGCTCATTTTGAATCACTTCGAAGGAAGAGATCTTCCTTTCAAGTACAGCCACAAGTGGTGCGGATGCCGGCGGCGAAGCTGCTTTAAGACGCTGACACTTCGGTGACAGCTAACTGATCAGCTTATCTGTCACCAAGTCAAAATACTTCTCTTTGGGAGATTCTCTTTGAGAATAGTATCTTTTGAATAGTTCCTACGTTGAAATAATGCATAGGTTTATTCATGATTGCATTTCATGTTAATTCTGTTAAATTATTGATTGTTGTCCTATACTTTATAGGAATTTCATGATAAGTTAATCTAGGGATTATTAAGTTTCCCCAATTAGTTGACCTTTTGACATTTGGCGACGGATTGGGTATGGGCCGGTATGTTTCTATACATGATACAATCGCCCACAAAGCCTTTGTAGTGAAATGCTTCATATACTAACTGCATCGCATAAAGCGACTGATTTCGTTTAAACGGTTTAAACAAATAATCAGCCTGGTTTACCTATGTTTTTACTTACGGCTTGCAAAAAAAGCCTAAAAGCTTTTTTTATGAATATCTATCGAGGAAAGTCAAACAAATATTCAATAGCGTATTGTCCAGTCTGTCCATCGTGTCAAATCGTATCTGTTAACTTTAATTTGAGGTCATGTTACAACTGTGCAACGACGGAGGCCACAGAGAGAGCGAGAGACAGAGAGAGAGGGAGAGAGACAGAGACAGAGAGAGAGAGAGAGAGAGAGAGAGAGGCAGAGTTGAGTTTGAACACTCTTCAAAATTTTAATAATTAATGTGAGCTCCATCAGCCCCCTCAAAAAGTGACCTTGTGTTAGATGTTACATAGGAAGGGTAATTACTTTACATTTTTCCCCTTTTCATTTTTTTCTTTTTTTCTTTGGCTGTATTTGGCCTAATTTAGTTTATAGTTTTCTGTTAGGTTTTTATTCACAGTGTTTTTATCTTATTTCAATCCTAATAATGATTAACTTGCTCGCCTAATTTCTATGTCCACATTATGACAATATCCTTAATCATTATTATAATACTTTTTTCAGATTTCACTTGAAATTCAAATGCATGCACCAGAAAAGATGGAATGGAAAAGGTTTTGATGTCATTTACCGAGCTCGCCAAGAGAGAAGTACCCGCAAGCGCAAGACACTCGGAATCTTTGAACGCCTGATTCTCCGGTACTCATGCTAACGGTTCCTGTAACCTGTCAAGTTAATTGATGTCTCTGTAATGGGTGAGCATGGTGAGGCAAATTGGAGAGGTACAATTAGTGACCGAAAGAGAAAGAAAATGATACTTTTAAGTATTTGAAAAAATACTTTTAAGTATTTTAAAAGGCTATTTTGTGACGATTTCTATTTATGTCTTGCACCTTGAGATGAACAAATCTAATGTTAAATGTACAAAGAGCAGAGAACTAGAAGAGTGAGAATAATGAGATTTGTCAATTGGCTCAAAAATCTCGAGGATGAGGTAGAAATGAAATGAAAATTAAAGGGAGGATCAAGGGATAGCCGAAAAAATAAAAATCAAAGTAGAAAAGAGAAAGAAATGCTTTAGGAATAGCTAATGAATGAGGGATTAAACCAAAGGCATTTAATCTATTCTTTCCCTCTCTAGAAAAGTCCTGAATTCAATACAATAGATTTTAGCATGGGCTTGGTACAGATAACCCGAACCTAACATCTTGATTAATACTCAGACAGGGTTTTCATGTTACATTGTTTTATGCCCGGTTTTATGGCAACTGATTCAATCACCATGCTTTGTGAAGTACAACACACAAAAATGAAACACGCATTCATCAAATGGTCAAAATCTGGAAATAAAATGGCTTTTACCATTAATTTATAGGGGAAAATACAATCCATATCGCATGGTTGCTGAAACATCCATTTATTTATTTATTTTTGTTGGTAATTTGATTCTGTAACACTATAAGTTAGCTGTCAACGCAGTGCTGACGTTTTACAACAGAGTTGCCAATAGTCAATTTTGAAGAAGGACACGAAGGCCTCAAGAGACGCTTCCTTAAAACTAATTCAAAATGAGCAGTGGGTACAAGTTTGATTTTAGCGACGAAAGTCCTAAGGCAAATAAGAAAGGAAAGAAAATTGTGTACGCCGTTGCAGCTTTGGGAGCTGTCTTTTTTATCATTGGTGTTGTTTTGATAATAGTTAGTGTTGTGCGTAAAGGTGAGTCTTGTGAGGAAAGCAAAACGGTAAAACCAACACCTGGAGGTACATCAGCCTACTCGGCAGAAGCACAAAGGGTTGGCTTGGGACCATTTCTAGAGAATGTAAAATCGACGTATTACAAAATGAACCCAAATCTCATCGTCAGGAATCCCGATGCAACTCCAAGCACAATAAGACAAGAATTYAGYCCATACAACTGTCATCCAAGCGCTCTCAAGAAACGTACGGACGCTGCCAAGTCGCTTTATAACAAAGGGGCAAAAATGTTAAAGGACGTTAACCGCGCCAAGCTTGCACCACGTGAACTGAAAGCCCTTATGCAAGTTCAACACTTTCTACAAAGCAATTTTGGAGCTCCGTACGACGAGAACTACTACGCTGGTGATTGGTTACTTGGACCTAATTTGTTCTGCTGGCAGCCTATATGTGGAAGTTGGTAGTGATCTTTCATCACATTTCAACCTTAAAAAGACGGGATTTCAACCTGCAAATGAAGGAGACTTGGAGTTTGTGATCGCTCATTTAAAGAACCTTAGTGACTCTCTAACGCAATACGTCGATAACTTGAAGTACGGGATAAAAGCTGGATATGTGCGATCTGTCGAGGAATGTGAGGTGGGATTGTTCTCACTGAAGAGGAAGTTTAACAGCATCTCGAAGGAAGGAGGAAAAGGTATCTATAACAAAAAGTAGTACATGTATGTACCTTGCGTGATAAAATGGCAACCTAAACCTTATCATATAAAACATAGCGTGACAATTACAACGGCAGCGAGAGAGAGTATCCCTGTGTAGGAGCTGTGGGATCCATTGGGTAGATTTACAACATCGTTCTCACGATCTTTTTGCATTATTTGAGGAAAATATCCCGATTACGAGGTCGGTTGACGAAGTGTTCAGACCAAGTATTCCGATGTGAATGTGGTAGCCAGTGGAGCGTATATTCTTTATGAATACAATACAATACAATACAATACAATACTTTCTAGTTATTATTGGTACTTGAATACAATATTTGTACATTCGTAACTGCAATAATTTTAAGTATAGATTTGAAAAACAACAGTTATTAAATTAAGTTAATACTTATTGAATTAATATTATCATAATTTATGGGAGGGGAGGGGTTGATATATTAGAATTCACTTCTGTTTTCTGGAAAACGCGTTAAATGAAAGTGATTTTTCCTAGGAACCCCTAAAGACCCACCAGAACAACTCAAAGGTCATTTCAAGATCCCACTTGTTAGGCTTATAGAAATTTCAAGGATCTCGATTTGTCTCCCATCCCACTCTCCATACATAATGCATAAGTTCAAAGAGAGTTCGATTCGCTCGTGCTCCCAACGTGTTTATATAAGAGAACAGAGACACTGTATTTCTGTTTTTCTTAAGTAAAATGTATGACTCTCACTTAATAAACCAACTTCACAACAAAGTGTAATATCTTCATTACCTAACAGGAATTCTGAGCTCAAGCTATGTAAAAGAAATGAGAGATCCAAAATGGTACGAGAAAATCAACTCTGATACCAAAACATCCTGGAAAAGCAAGCATGGTAAAGACGTCCAACAATCCATCGACGATTCTTTGGTTGAATACGTTGGGCAACCTGTCCATAACCTCCTACAATACCTGGAATTCAACCATTCCCAGTACTGTGTCCCGTCTAATGTTTCCAGTGGACTTGCAAATCTTCCTTTGGATTATGTTTACTTAAGAGGAAACAAAACATCTGAAAAGACGACAAAGGTCCTTCCATTTGGAGAGAAATTGAGTGGCAAAGAGGCGTACAAAAGTATCTTGCCCTATTTCACTTCCACAAATATGACCCCTGAAGAGGTCAATGACCTTGGCTGGAAGGTGCTAAATGAGTTATATCCACAAGCTGTAGAAATTGCCAAAACCATTACGGGATTAAATGACAGCGATCAAGCAGTTACGGAGTTTAAGAAGAAACTCGAAGATCAATCGATGTTTTTCAATGACAAGCCAATTCCTTTGAACGAGTCCAACAAAGAAGCGTGGGAAAAATGTATTGATATGGCGAGTGCCAAGAAATACTGTCCAACAAGACATGCGTCAATGCTGAAATGGTTTGAATATGTAAATGGTATGTTGTTTGACTCATTCGTTTACCCAACTTTCCCAATTTTGAGATATACTGTATAAACCTATTTGATCAATCAAACTGCCTTATTTGGTCAAGGACTGTTATTCACTGCATTTCAATTCAATTCAATTTTTTATTTTACACACATATATATTTATTTTACAAGGAATATTATTAATCTATTATAGATAATTTTGGGGAATTACATGTTTGTTATAGGGGAAAGTGTGCAGTGGCTAAAGGAGCTTAGCTTTCGAGTTAGCCACTGCCTATTGAAAGCGAGCTTAGGGCTCTTTTTTAGCATTTAGAACAGACTTTTAATAATGGATGATCCGGCTTTAAGAAAGATATATTCATCATCATCATAAATTGCGAGTTTTTTGTTGATTGCTCATTGCTTTTGTGATTGTTGTAGTTGTTGTTCATTTTATCCCAAGGAAAAATAACTGCATCTAGAAATTCATGCCGAGTTCTACAACAATTCAGTACCACATATGTTATTTATTCAAAAGTTCATATCTTTTTACCCAGGCCTCCTTTCTCTTTTCGCCCCGTTGCAAGTTGGAATGTTCTATTATACCGGCCAAAAACAAAGTCAACCCAACTGTCCAGTCCAACTGATTGCAAATTTTAATCCTGGAACTGGTTCACAGAGTTATCGAAGTAGTGACAAGGCCTGCACGCGTCCGTGCAGATATCGTCTACCGTTTTATCTCAAGGATCATGGTCCCAAATATAATGCGTATTCTGTGGCCGCTCACGAGGCTAGACCTGGACACCACACTCAGGTAACATGGAGTTGAGACAAGTCCGTCTTAATAAATTAAATTTAAAAATTGTAGTCGACCAGAAGTACCAGAGAGGGCAGATCATAATACAATGGTACCTCTTTTAAGCGTGCTCGTCTAGGACTTTCAAATGTGGCAGTTATATAAAGATTTTCAACTGTTCATTGAATAAAGGAAAAATAGAGAATGGTCTCCCTTCACGGTTCCTTGCGCCGTCTTGAAAGATAGCCGTGCCTTTTTGAAGCGAGATGAACGTTGAGCGTGTAATGATACATCTACAGACAATTAGTATCCACAGTTATCACAATTAGTATCACAGTTATCTATCTCGGTCGTCTCGCTTCGATGCAAAGGCACGGCTACATTTCAAGGTATAGCTGGGAACCGTATAGGAGACTATACTCTATATACTCTTTATGGTTGGTCTAGAAACTGCAGCGGAACCCGGCACTAAGCGATCACCCAATAGACACTGGAACAACTGTCTATTCACGAATGCTGTAGTTATGTAATAATACGAAAAAAAAATAATAATCTGCTAAATATTTTTCAGCTTCACTCGTTTACCGAGTTGTTCAGCAATGATCGTTGTGATGTTATTAGCTGGTTGAATGGTGTTAGCTATTATACTGCATTCACAGAGGGCTGGGCCTTGTACGCAGAGAGAGTACTTATCAGCCAGGAGACAAACATCTACGACAATCTACCTTTGCAAAAATATGGCATGCTGAAGTGGCAAATATGGCGGGCTCTTCGTCTTATTATGGACACGGGGCTGCATTATAGAGGTATATTGAAATTTTGCGTGACTGGCTGACTAGAGCCAATGACTGCACTTCCCCAAATTGTCACTTACGTGACCTTTCGTACCTTGATTACCTGATTTCAGTACATTACATTATTGCACGTGGGCACGCCCGCGTAGCACCACTGCGAGATACGCAGGGATCTAGAGGTCTTGTGTGAAACAGTTCTGGCAATGCATACGCTGTCATCCAGATCAGCTATCAATCAATGTGCATTACAGGAACCGCTAAAATAACGTTCCACTGTATATTTCTTCAGGAATGACCAGAGATGAAGCCCTGGAACTGTTCGCAAAGTATGCCTGGGATCGAACAGACAAAGCTGTCAAAGACGTCGTACGTTACCAAAGCAACGAAGGCCAGGCTACGGCGTATATGATTGGTCAATTAGCAATATGGAAATATCGTAACGATACCACTAAGCGGCTCCAGGATAATGAAAAGGAATTTAATGAAAAAGATTTTCATTTTCAGGTAATTTTATTTTCTTCACCAAAAACAGCTACATTGTAGTCAATCCTGCCATCGGCATTTATAGACCAACCTTTTTTTTCTTTTCTAGTTTGTTTTCAAAAGTGTTGACTCGAAAAAGTTACTTTCCCACCACACCCTCTGGTGAGCATCCTTATCACCCGGTTCCAACCCCAAGCTAAGAAGCGTTCTTGTATTTTTCCCCAGGTTCTTTCTCAGGGATCATCACCACTAAGTTATCTTGAAGCTCACCTTCAGAGGTTCACTGACTGTACTATTGATCCGGAAGGCTCAGGCTGTGATTCCCTCTTAAATCCCGACTTCAAGTCTATACGAAAGGCTAAAACATCTCAAGCTAAGAATAACTTCAGGTTGTTCACTGATGAAGAGGACCAAGACAACGTGTACTTTGATGGGATGTATGAATCAAGGCCGAGGGACGTGAGATTTGACTTGGAATATTTTGATTAATCTGCAGCTATTTTAACAAGCCTTTTAACAGTTGATTGAAAAGGTCTAATACACCCTTTTAATAAGTCCCGAGGTATGAGTTCTCCGCACTTGACGTCAAATTTATTCTTTTGAAATTTTTACAATACAAAAGGAATTCAAAAGAATACATTTGACGTCAAGTGCGGAGAACACAATACGTCGGGACTTATTAAAAGGGTGTATAGACGAAACATGTATCATTGAGAGTCTTGGTCTTTTAGTGTGTCAAAAGGGATGATTTAAAAACAAAAACAGATTCACATGTAGCATGAAGTTTACAAACTCTTTATTGATCAAATTTAAGAAAATTTCTTTTCACAGAAAAAATTATTTAAAAAAGGGTTTGAAAATGTTTTAGCTTTGAGTAATCCACAGCACTTTGAGCAACAGGCAGCGAGGAAAATGGCGAAAAATTTGAATAATTTCCATGTCAGTGGTTATATATAGATAACCTGCATACTCTGAAAACACATTGTATGTACAGACTGTTTACACGCACTTGAGATACAATCAACGCAAAATTCGAAGCTCGACAAAACTGCTAGTGTAAACAGGCCTTAACGACTGGTTAAAAAAATCTATCTAAACTGGAATTTTGATTAACTTGTTTTATCTGTACTTTTATTTTAACTTGATTGAAAACATAGGAGAACTAACCTGCTGCTGAAATGTTAAGGTCAAGGGAAATAGCCTATCAATTACTTGCCAGTGACATAAATGAGAAATATAACATTACAGGCGTTTACTGTTTTTTAAGCGGAACTCAGCAAAGATCTTCAAGAAAAAACTTCATGAATTCACAGTAATCATTTTTCATTCAAAATGTTAATAAGATCATGCGAATTACGTTATAAATAAACTGTGAATCAATCAAATATATTTCATTAATTTGGAACTAATTTCTTTTGATGATTTCGATAATTGTCTTGGCGGTGGTAATCATTGCTCCGGTGATTCCACAAGTTCCTGGAGTCCCGTTACCGATATTACACACACATCTTGCACGGTGGTTGTACATCAACTCAATCTGTCAACTCTATTTACCAACTCTATACCATATTAAATCAGCTCCCGATTTTAACATGTCAAATCGTATCGGTTAACTTTAATTTGAGGTCATATTACAACTGCGTAAGCGACGGAGTTAAGAGTGCACTCAGAACTTTGTATTGAACACTCAGATTTCTTGAATAATTAATGTAAGCTCCATCAGTCCCCTCATAGACAAAAAGTGACTTGGTGTTAAATGTTTCATAGAAAGGTTAATTACTTTTCTTTTCTTTTTTTTCCTTTGGCTGTTTTTTGCTTAATTTATTTTATAGTTTTCTGTTTATTTTTTATTCACAGTGTTTTTTGTCTTATTTCAATCCTAATAATGATTTTAAAGTTAAAACTTGCTCGCCTAATCTATGTACACATAATGACAATATCCTTAATCATTATAATATACTGATTTACAATTTTCAAACTTCACTTGAAATGCAAATGCATGCACCAGAAAAGAAAATGGAAAAATTTTAGTGCCACTTACCGAGCTTGCCAGGACAGAAGTACCGCAAGCACAAGAACACCCGGGATCGTTGAACGGATTCTCCTGTACTCATGCTAACGGTACCTGTTAAAACCTGTCAAGTTAATTGATGTCTGTGTAATGGGCGAGGCAAATTGGAGAGGTACAATTAGTGACCAAAACATGGAGAAAGAAAAAAACACTTAAGGGCTGTTTTGTCACGATTTCTATTTATGTCCTATGTCTTGTACCTTCTGATGTACAATGTTAAATGCACAAACAAAGAGCAGAGAAGTGAAGAGTGAGAATAATGAGATTAGTCAATGGCCTCAAAAATCTCGAGAATGTGGGAGAAACTGCAATAGAAATTGTAAAGAGAGGAGGGATAGCTGAAAAAAATAAAAATACAAGCAGAAAAGCTTAAGATATGCTCTAGGAATACCTAATGGATGAAGGATAAAACTTTTAAAAGGGATATTTAAAAGGGATATTTTCTATATTCCTTCCCTCTCTCACTGACGATGAGGACCAGGATAAGGTGGAATTTGATGGAATGAATGAGTGAAGATAAAGGGATGTGAGCCTATTTGACTTGGAAGATTTCGATTGATCTGCAGCTATTTTACCAAGAGTTTTCAAAGTTGACAAATTTATTTCAAAAAAATATTTTAACTTTGAGAAATCAATGTGAGCAACAGCCAGCGAGGAAAATGACGACAATTTTTAATTAACGTCAATGTTTAGATCATGCGAATTAAGTTATAAATAAACTATGAATTGATCAACTATATTCCATTAATTTAGTATAAATTTCTTTTGTTTCGATTTTTTGATAATTGTTTTGGGTTTTCCAATCGTGGCTCCGGTTGTTCCACAAGTTCCCGAAGTCCCGTTCCAAATATTAGACATACATCTTGCACGGTGGTTGCGCATCAATTCAATCTGTCAACTCTGTTTGTTACGCATGATAAGAGCCAGAAGTGCACATTGGGTTCCGTAACTAGCACCGTCTGCACATAGAGTTGGTTGCAATCATGAAGAAGGAAAAGCGAATGTCCTATATAGCGGCCGGTGTCTGCTTAATAGGCATCATTCTCCTCATAGTAGGAATTGTTTTACTAGTGAAAGCAAACAGTGCAACGAAAGATTGCAATTCCACCGTCAAGGGTAAGGATACCAGCTCAGGAACCAAAGAGGCTGGCGATCGATGCAAATTCTCCGACGAGGCACTCAGTTCTGGTTTCGCTAAATTCCTTCAGAAAGTCCAGGACTCAGACTTTGAGGTCTTCCCTGAAGCCATAGTGTACAAGCCTAACGTTACAGTAGATGAGATTAAGCGAGTCTTCAAGCCATTTGATTCTTCATGGAAAAATCTCAAGAAACGCACAGATACTGCCAAGGAATTGTTGGATGAAGTCAAAGGTATGAAAATTAACACCAACAAGCTGAAACCCAGAGAAAAGAAAGCTTTGTTCCGTGTGAAGCACTTCCTGCAGTTCAACTTTGCTGTACCTTACGATGGCAACTACTACGCCGGTGACTATATGATGGGTCCGAATCTCTTTTGCTGGCAACCGATTTGTGGAGTTCCTAGCCAGGTCGCTTCACTGCGCTATTTTAAACCAAAGGAGGTGAAAGACCTTGAAGTTCTACAGGATAAGCTGGCTCTCTTCAACCAAACATATCATTCTTATATCCAAAACCTGAAAGACGGCATTAACGCAGGCATGGTACGCAGTGTTGAGGAGTGTAAGGCTGGATTGGACGCGATCAAGAGGACAGCCTTTAAAGTTGCTCTCAACGGCCCTGAAGGTATGTTAAATAGTGTCCACCTGTTTTCAGTCAACTTTCGTTATAACAGGAATTAGTTGGGGATAGTTATTATCACTGATTTCTTTGGAGCGCGGCTTAATGATTTAAGCGCGCGGTTGATATTCTCAGGGTACCCCCAGGCTTGAAAGAATATAAAATTTCAAAAGTTATTTGAGAGGTAAACACTTGAGATAACTCCGCATCTCAAGCGGTGCTTAGTGGCTAGGGTCTCTTTCTCGCTTTCTCGAGCTATCACTTATCACAGCAAACGATTACAATGGTTTTCGATTGTCAATTATCGAATAATGAAAAGTCCATTGCTATCTTTCGTTAAAAGATTGTATCGATTGATTGACAGACGGATTTGTGGATGTAGGATTATATTACCGTCAATCTAATCTCCTGAAGAAATTTGATCATTATTAATTATTCAATCTCAAATAGGCATTTGTGTTTTTTATATTCCATCAACAAATTCTACCGTCAAATACAGTCGATCAATACTAACATACATGCTCCAAATGGATTACTGATTGTCACAATCGATTTAGACCCCTTGCGTGTGGCGTCGAAGCAGCGTTATCTGAAGGATAAACAAATGGTTTTTGCTCTCTTCTCTTCTTGCTCTCTCCAGTTAGAGATGCATTCCTATTGACCGCAAGGGCCTATATCCATTTCCGGTGTTGTCTCGTTAAATCAACACCGGAAACGGTTGGAAGGGGACAAAAAATCGATGCAAATTTATTAAAAAATCGCACGACATCATTCGATAATCGGTTGCAGCTATGAAAAGATGAAATCGAAAACAAATACGTTATCTAACGTGCTTTTTAGCAACATAAGACTTTGTCATAAGAGATGGTTTGTCATTTATCAAAATTACTCAAGTTGAACTAACGCTTTTGTCTTAATGTAATCATTAATTCCCTTTCAATGAATCGAATCACCATTTTGTTCTGTCTGACAACCTTGCTATATAGATTTATTGCCCTATGACGTCACAGTATGTTTACATTGTGGATAGAAGACTCGAAATTTGAACCTGTTAACATTCTTTCCGAAAGTAGAACTAATTATATCGAGTTTTGATGTACATTATGTATCAATGATTGCTCATCTACATTTTGTTTGATATAGAGTCGCTATGATCCCGTATGGTGACCATAAATCTTATACGATAATTATGCGATAGGGCAATTAGTTGCTCATTTAGTTTGGAGTATTGTCAGGCGACATTATTATTGTGTAGCATTTAATGAAGCACTTATTAATAAGGAATTATTTTCAAATATTTATTTGCTCAGCTTGCCTCCTTCAAATCATTTTTTACGTAATTTGTGTACATCGATTTGTAAATGATAAAACTTCGTATATAACTAATAAACCACCCATTGAACTTGAAGTTAAGAGATGTAGCCTCCGTTACAGGCGTCCTGTGTTACACGAGACGCCTGCAACAGAGGGTATTAAAGAATACTTTTATATATTCTCTTAATAAAAATAAAAACACAAAAACAAAAATTAATACACGGTAATGTGTGATAATTCGAATCTATTTACCCTTTCTAAGTTGAACGTTGATTGTTTTGAGGGAAGTAATCTTTCAAAGAATTCGAAACCTTAAATGTTACAGAAGTTGACACAAGTTAAAACGCGTAAGTGCGGTTTAAATCCAAATCTCTTGACCTTTTGTAACATGCTAAATCAGTGTTGATCGACTTTTAAAGAAATAATTTTTCAAAGGATTCATAAAATTGGCGTAAAATCTAAAGTGCGTATAACGTAATCCTCCTAGAGTAGAGAAAAGTTCACGACGAGACCGTGACATGAGAGAAAAAATGAAATTCGTCATCGTCTACAGGATTACTCGATATCGAACCTCCAAACGAGTACGATCAGCCGTCTTTTTCAATGTATCAAATCTAAGTCATAGTCAACCGAAGCATCAAACTGTATAAGATCACATTGCGGCTTAAAAATAACCGGTTTGACGTCAAAGGCTTTTCAAAGACTTCAAAAACTGCAGTTGACTCTCTATACTGCCTTGAGGCATACTTCAAAGTGAAATCAGAGAAGAGGCACAAAATCTAACATATAATCTTGCTTTTCAAAAATACAGGAATTTTGCAGGAGGGCTCAGTTGAAGATCTTCTCTCACCCAATTTCTTGAAGGATATAATGAGCAAATCGGAAGATTTAGATGAATGGGAGAAAAAACATGGAAAAACTGTCAATGAATCCGTCTGGGGATTTCTTGTGGATTACGTTGGAAAGCCTCTTGATACTCTTTTCAAGTAAGATGCTTGACAAGCTAGATGTTTTAAATATTAAAAATATTTCTTGATTATAGATTATTAATGATTTTAATGATTATGGATCAGTCATCTTCCAATTTCATTCCCGTAGGTATCTAGAGAACGACTTTTCCCAATACTGCGTCCCTAGTAACATATCCAGCGGTCTTGCAAGTCTTCCTTTGTCGTACATCTACAAAAATGGCAACAATACAGGCACTAAGACGACTAAAAAACTACCCTCAGGGGAGGACTTGGATGGGAAAAAGTCTTACGACATGATTATGCCATATTTTACGACCAATAATATGACCGCTGATGAAGTCCATMAGTTAGGGTTTGAAATGSTTWACAAGCTATACCCCGAGGTAAGGGACGTTCTACTTTCTCATTATATTTCTTATACTTTTTTCTTGTGTCGTTCTATGTTAGGTGAGGTGCACTTTCTTCTAAGAAAATATCCTGAAACTATAATAATATTCTGTTTTTAGTTAAAACTATTTATCGTATAATAATAATCTATGAAATGCCTATATTTCTCTCTTTCGAAAAGTTCATATTTTTACTAATGAAATAACACATTAGAGCTTTCTCTATATATTTTGGAATTAAGGAAAGGTATTTTATCATATAATTATATAGGTAAATTCATTGGGTGACGAGTGAATTCCGCGTTGAATTCACGAGTAAAGCCGATATCGCTATGAATTCTCTATGAAATACCTATATTTCTCCATTACGTAAAATTGATATTTTCACTAGTTATTTTCATATTCGAGGTTTCTCTATATAGTGGAAGTAAGAAAAAAGATATTTTCCGACATAATTTGCTTTCATATTTAATTATATGATAAACAGAATATTACATGGTTGCTTTGAGATACGAATTTTATCTTCGCTACGCTCACTCCTGATCTGAGAGGTTTTTCAACACTCGAAAACAAAATCTGTATCTTCGCGCGACCATGAAATATCCTCTACATTTTTAGTTAAAACTATTTCCAAGACATGTATTTGAGTATTCTATGGTTTGCAGCTATCTTATCTTATGTTTTCTAAAGTATTCTCAACAGTCGACAACGACAAAGGATGACTTTTTAACTGAATTTTTTAGAAACACCTAGAAAAAGCTAGACCACAGCTACAAAACTAAGAGCACGTTGTTTATCCGAGAACGTTAACAAATTTTTACTTTGTTTTGCAAATCATCTTATGTTGACTGTTGGTTCAAAATCAAAAATAGCGAATTTTCGTAGGTGAGAAAATTGGACATTCCGAAATTCAAAAGGAGACTGGGAACGAGTGTGAAAATAGTCCATTCATCGAAAACTGAACCTCACCACATGAAAGACCACACTACAATAAGTTTTCTTGTCAAGTATGAGACTATTTAGTTGAATACTTACCGAGTGTTTTTTTTTTAATTTTGTAAAAAGAAGAGAAAAAGTATGGTTTTTGTTGACGCTCCTTAAAGAGCTCCATACATTCTTTGTAATTTTCTCTAGTTTTAAACGCTTGAAACTCTGTAATTATTAATCCGAATACTCTCAAACTCAGCAACTGTACTAATTTTAGTATGGTCTTTCTTGTCCTAGTGTTTGTTTTTTGATTGCTTCAAACGATACCGAGTTTGTGACTAGTCACCAGACCCATTTTTAATTTCGGAACGGCAATTGCGCACAGGTGTTTTGTTGCGCGTGGGCCTTTAACCCCATATTAGTTGCTCTGCGTTTTTGTCATTGGCTTGCTCTTCCAATATTGTCTTGCTGTTTTCAGGTTCTTGAAATAGCACGTAATGTCAACAACGTAACTAACAACGACACGGCTAAAGAGCTGTTTATCAAAAGGCTCAACGATTCAGATATGCACTATGCTGATTACATACCCGCAAACGAGAGCAATAAAGAGGCACATAACAACTGCAGCAGCATCGAAGGTGCCAAGAAATATTGTCCTAAGCGTTGGGCCGCGATGCAACGATGGTTTACAGATGCTAACGAGGTACCTTTTGTTAGAACATCAATAACATCAGTCCACTCCCCCTTCTAGATCTTTTCCCATTCTGAAATAGATCAATAGCCTTCAACAACCTTCACCACTAAATTCAATATTTTGCTGAGTTTTCTTTTGGTTTAAGATTATGAGCATGTTGGATCCAAAAACTGTAAATATGTTCTATTTCAATGGCTACAAGCACACGACACCCAACTGTCCAGTTCAAATGCGTCCAAACTTTAACCCGTCCAGTGGAGCCCAGAGTTTCTCTCTAAGCGACAAAAAGTGTTCACGGCCTGCCTACTACAACATACCATTCTTCAATGCTCGGCCTGGGCCTAAATACGAAGAGATGAGTGTAAATGCGCACGAGGCAAGACCTGGTCACCATACTCAGGTAATTCTAACAAACTAAGTGCTAAGTGCATGAAAACACCCAAATTTCGAAATGTTTAGTGATAATCATATATAACGAATACATGACTCAGTTAAAGGTATTAAAAAACTGTCAAACAAAAGGTTTGTTAAGGAGTCATCTCACACCAGAGGAAATTGGCTTAAAAGAAATAAAGAACAAAAGGACAGTGTAAATGACGTCCTTCACTCACATTTTTTGGCAAACTTTTTAAGGATTTGTACAAATTTATTATCAAATACGGTGCTTCATGATTATTGTACCCATAGAAATGGACTTTGTTCAAGTCTTTTTCTAATATTTGGCAATTTCTAAGGCTTTGAAATTCAAATCACCATCATTTATTGATGCTATACATGTATCAAGTTCAAAAGAGTTAAATGACAAATGATGTCATTACTATCAAAGCCTATCTTTGTCCTCGTCGAGGTATCTTTTATTGGTTGCTTTTCACTTCTCTAGTCCAGTATATAGCCATCCTCTGAATTCTAGGGATTTGTAAATTGGGCCAATTCTCTATACCCAGTCAAAAAACCCCTCGTCTTTTTAAATGTACTGGATATTTCTTTTTCAAAGGTGCAAGGGATGGTAGAGCATTTCATGGACACATGCAGTGACGTCATTAAATGGTTGGATTCGCAAACTCGTTACACCGCTTTCACTGAAGGATGGGCTTTGTATGCAGAAAATCCACTGATTGCTAAAGAAACTGATGCATACGATGGTCGACCCTTTTCAAAATATGGCATGTTAAAATGGCAGGTATGTCTGTGAATTCCTTCTTATAAGTTAGTTCTGTGGCATTCATCTGGGGGACAATGGAAATGATGTTATTTTCTCTTCGGATCCATTAGCCAATGCATTGTCCCTCAGACTGAGCTCTTTTGCAGAAAAGCTATCATTATCAAAATGCCAAATCGGTTATATATTTGATGTTCGACTCATAACTTTGTCTTCTTTCGAGCAAGACGAATAACCGTATAAAAAAGGAATAACCGATTTGACGTTGTGCAAATTATGATCCACCTTAAGTTTACCTCATTTGCTCTTAAATCTCACCTTGTTCTCTCTAATCCTCATAGTTGTGGAGAGCTCTCCGTCTTATCGTAGACACAGGTCTTCACAACAAAGGCTTCTCTAGAGAAAAAGCTTTAAAATTCTTCGCAGACTACGCCTGGGATACATCAGATGGCGCATCGAAAGAAGTAACTCGCTATCAAAGCGATCCAGGTCAAGCTACAGCCTACATGGTCGGCCAACTCCATATAATAAAGTTGAGGGAATACGCCACGAAGAAACTGGGCAAGAAATTCAATCTGAGAGATTTCCACTTCTACCTGCTCTCACAAGGGTCAGCTCCTCTTAGTTATTTGGAYGAGAGTATTTCGAGGTACGTGGAGTGTACGTTGAACAACGGTAARGGAGACGRCTGTCATGATGTACTCTATCCTGTTGGTAACGACGACAAGACTACTGCATCAGATGGCATCTTCGATGATACAGAATGGGGCGGCTACCCACCCGAGCGCTACGTACCATACCATTATATATGAAAAGATAGTCAATTGTATAGAGTTGATGATATTGAAATGTGAAAAAGTGTAGACGAACATATTATAACCCTTGTTGGTCACGATTTTAATTTTCCATCGTGCAATGTTTTCATATATTATAGGTTTGAGTGATTTTATAGCTAGTTCAAAAAGTTTTGTTTACGAAAACAGCGAACGAAATTTACTGTGAGTATCGATTATTTATTCCGGATCTTTTTTCTCGTGTTCTCCCACCATTCCGCGCTGGATATTTCGACAGTAAACCGCTTCAATCTATCGTTTATTGCTTAAATACACTAATTTTTCCCACTCATCGCTGATTGTCTTGCTGCGCTCGTGGGTCCACTTGAGTTTTGTCAAGAGGACATAAATCACTTGAGTATTTTTTTTAATTTTGATTCAAAGAAGATAGAAAGGTTTATTAGTAATTAGTTTTCATTAGTTTTTCAATAGGTGACCATTCGTCATTTCCTAAGTAAAAAAAAACATGCGTAGAACAGTATTGTAAACTTAAAGACAAAAAACATTTCGAAAAATCTTGAACGATAACTGCTATCGAAACTGCTACGTTTATGCTGTAATACACAATGTCCTCTTAATTGAACTGGGTATGGTAAATTCCACCTAGTGGTTCGCTCGTTTCCTCTAACAACCTTAAGTAAATTAAAAAAAACATGTTTTGACAACAACTGCGATCACGAAAGTTGACCAATACTTGGATTTTGGAAAGAAGTTATTAGTAGGACATCATTTCCTGGATCGACCCTGGAGTTCAACGAAGCGTCATTAGGTCGTTTAATAAAATTTCCACTTTTCGAAATTGAACACATTTTCCGATTAGAGTTTTAGAGTGGTTTCAATAAACCCATGAAATAAACCCATAGCATAGCATAGCATATACTAAAGTAAACATCAATCATATCGTATTCTTTTATGTACAGCAATATGCACAAATTATGATCTTTTTTGCTCATACAGCCTTTTGCAAAAATTATGAGAATTGTTGAAATATCTAAATATAATATCGAGTGCATGATGGGTAATCCCACGCGATGCCCTTAGTCCCTTGTCTTTGTAGTTTAGGTTTTTTTTTGGCGACAGACTTATCCGTAGTTCTGAACATTTTCTTGATGTCAACAATGAATTATTCTAGCAAAGCCGCGTGTTCTGGACAATATATGGATATGGATATTATGATATTTAGATATTTAGACAATTCTCATAATTTTTGCAAAAGGCTGTATTTCNTTATCAAAATGCCAAATCGGTTATATATTTGATGTTCGACTCATAACTTTGTCTTCTTTCGAGCAAGACGAATAACCGTATAAAAAAGGAATAACCGATTTGACGTTGTGCAAATTATGATCCACCTTAAGTTTACCTCATTTGCTCTTAAATCTCACCTTGTTCTCTCTAATCCTCATAGTTGTGGAGAGCTCTCCGTCTTATCGTAGACACAGGTCTTCACAACAAAGGCTTCTCTAGAGAAAAAGCTTTAAAATTCTTCGCAGACTACGCCTGGGATACATCAGATGGCGCATCGAAAGAAGTAACTCGCTATCAAAGCGATCCAGGTCAAGCTACAGCCTACATGGTCGGCCAACTCCATATAATAAAGTTGAGGGAATACGCCACGAAGAAACTGGGCAAGAAATTCAATCTGAGAGATTTCCACTTCTACCTGCTCTCACAAGGGTCAGCTCCTCTTAGTTATTTGGATGAGAGTATTTCGAGGTACGTGGAGTGTACGTTGAACAACGGTAAAGGAGACGACTGTCATGATGTACTCTATCCTGTTGGTAACGACGACAAGACTACTGCATCAGATGGCATCTTCGATGATACAGAATGGGGCGGCTACCCACCCGAGCGCTACGTACCAGACGATTATATATGAGTAGACCTAATTTCATAGATCGTAGTTTAAGACATTATATAGGTATTTCAAAATGATTTGATTTATAATGATAGTTCGTATTATTGTATTGATTTTTGAATTTTCGGACGCCTTGGTCAATTAAGGCTCGCTGTGCTGGCTTTTTCCAATAAGGTGTACATTTTTTTTGAACTTGATTGAAAATATAGGGCAACCTGTTGCTGCTGAGATGTTGAGGTCAAGGGAAATCAATCAACCTATCAATTGCTTGGTCGTATAATTATGTCTTAACTAGGCGCCAGATTGGGACAGAATGGCGCTAGGACAAAGGGAAAAACCCACACGGCAGAAGTCGCAAATATAACATTAGCTTTTTCTTGAGATCAATTGTATTCGACAGCATCATTTTGCATTCAAATTGTCAGTTATGTCATCAGAATCACATTATAAATAAACTTTCAATTAATCATCTATTTTTCATTGATTTGGAATCAGTTTCCTTATTTTATTTCGATGATTTAGATAATTATTGTTTTGGCAGTCAGGTCGTGGATCCGGTGATTCCACAAGTTCCTGAAGTCCCGTTCCTGATATGCAGATATATCTTGCACGGTGGATGCACATCAATTCAATCTGTCAACTGTATAGTTACACTTGCGCTAGAAGTCAGCATGAGATTCCGTAACTAGCACCGTCTGCACATAGACCTGCTTGCAATCATGAAGAAGGAAAAGCGAATGTCCTATATAGCGGCCGGTGTTTGTTTAATAGGCATCATTCTCCTCATAGTAGGAATTGTTTTACTAGTGAAAGCAAACAGTGCAACGAAAGATTGCAATTCCACCGTCAAGGGTAAGGATACCAGCTCAGGAACCAAAGAGGCTGGCGATCGATGCAAATTCTCCGACGAGGCACTCAGTTCTGGTTTCGCTAAATTCCTTCAGAAAGTCCAGGACTCAAACTTTGAGGTCTTTCCTGAAAATATAGTGAACAAGCCCAACGTTACAGTAGATGAGATTAAGCGAGTCTTCAAGCCATTTGATTCTTCATGGCAAAATCTCAAGAAACGCACAGATACTGCCATGGAATTGTTGGATGAAGTCAAAAGTCTGAAAATTAACACCAACAAGCTGAAACCCAGAGAAAAGAAAGCTTTATTTCGTATAAAGCACTATCTGCAGTTCAACTTTGCTGTACCTTACGATGGCAATTACTACGCCGGTGACTATATGATGGGACCGAATCTCTTTTGCTGGCAACCGATTTGTGGAGTTCCTAGCCAGGTCGCTTCACTGCGCTATTTTCAACCGAAAGAGGTGAAAGACCTTGAAGTTCTACAGGATAAGCTGGCTCTCTTCAACCAAACATATCATTCTTATATCCAAAACCTGAAAGATGGCATTAATGCAGGCATGGTACGCAGTGTTGAGGAGTGTAAGGCTGGGTTAGACTCGATGAAGAGGACAGCCTTTAAAGTTGCTCTCAACGGCCCTGAAGGTATGTTTAGTGTCCACCTGTTTTGAGTCAACTCTTGGCATTGTTTGGGGAAAGTAATTTAGTGCACGTAAGTGGTCCATAAGAATAATAAAGTTATTTGAGAAGCAAACACAGTGATAACTACACTGGAACACACGAATTCCAGTTCTCAAGGCGATGCATACGTGTGGATTGAGCCTCTTTCTCAAGCTATTACTAATTTCAGGAAACCAGTTCCAATGGATTTTGAAATATCGATTATCAAATTATTGAAAGTCGATGTGAAAAAGTCCGCTGATTCTCGATGTCATGGAAATGTGGAATTATTATTACAGTGTCAATCTTATCTCATATTCAACGAATCGATTACCTTCGTTGTAGGCTCGGCCGTCTTCTTCAATCTTAGCTGTTTGTTTTTGTTGGCTTGTAGCGGCCCTTATCGAGTCGAAGGGCGAGCGCTCGCCCTTTGGGATCGATAAACAGTGCTTCGCGACAACAAAAATAAATATCGAAGAATGAAAAAATCGAACCTCTACCAGGGTAAAAAATCGATTCAAGCGATCTCAATTAGGATTTTTTTGTTTTATTCATTTTATTTTAAAGATCGAAAAAGAATAATCCAATTTTATGGATTAGACTTTAATTAAAAGATCAAGCGATATCATTCGATCCGTTGCAGCTACGAAAAGATGAATTCTCTTTATGAAAGGACTCAGATATTAAAACACGGTGGTTTAAACTGAATCGAGTGACCCTTCGCGAGGCAATAAGTTGCAAGAGGTTGGTTTGAAGGAAGTAATCTTTCAAAGGATTATGAAGGGACACTTACGAACGTTAAAGTGCTACTTGCATGAAAATGGCTTTATTTCAAAACTTCAAGCAATACAAATATATGACTCATTTATATCTATTAAAAACAACCGCGGGAAAAAATTTGCTTTGGAATTATCCCACATCAGAGAAATTTTGATTCAAAAGATGGAAGAACAAAAGGATGGAGTAAATGACGTCATCTACTACAACATTTTTTGCCCCAAAATTATTAAGGATTTGTATCAATATCTTCTTTAAATCTGTTGCTACATGATTATTAGACCCATATGGATAGGTAACCGTAACAATTACTTGCGAGTTTTAAAATGATTAATAATAATTCATAATTATTTAATGTTTAAAGTAACATAAGAACTGCAATTCAGCACAACATGACAAACACACAAAAAGCAATTTGAAAACGCTTAATCGTCTTTACTTAGTGTTCACCTAACTCCTGTGTGATTTATCAAGTTTAAATGAGATTATGTTGAGGTTATTATTACGTTATATACCCTTCAAAAACTCTGCAGGTGTCTCAGTATGCTCTGTGTCTCGATATGATCCCTTGAGGCATAAAAGGCGCGTAGCGTGGACGTTTTGGCTAGTACGCACATGCGGCTAACGACCGCGAAGGTGGGAGTATTAAGGTGGTCTAGGGGTCCTCCCCTAGGAAATTGTGAAATAATTACTATTGGAAATACGATTTCCAGCGTTTTTAGGGGCATCGAGAGAATATATAAAGCATCAAATCCCGAATATTTCCTTACCACTAGTACGCACCTGCGTATATGAGTAAAGGCGCCACTCGCCTGGCATATTTCGGCATTGTATTCATGTTGAATATACACAATGTATTTAAAAGTAAGATTTTGTCTTCATTTAATACAGGAATTTTGGAGGAGGGCTCAGTTGAAGATCTTCTCTCACCCAATTTCTTGAAGCATATAATAAGCAAATCGGAAGATTTAAAGGAATGGGAGAAAAAACATGGAAAAACGGTCAATGAATCAGTCAGGGGATTTCTTGTGGATTACGTTGGGAAGCCTCTTGATAATCTATTCAAGTAAGATACTTGCAAGGATTTTCAATTGTGTTTTGCCTTATATTATGAATAAATTAGATAATCATGGATCAATCCTCCAATTTCATTCCCGTAGGTATCTAGAGAACGACTTTTCCCAATACTGCGTCCCCAGTAACATATCCAGCGGTCTTGCCAATCTTCCTTTGTCGTACATCTACAAAAATGGCAAAAATACAAGCACTAAGACGACTAAAAAACTACCCTCAGGGGAGGACTTGGATGGGAAAAAGTCTTACGACATGATTATGCCATATTTTACGAGCAATAATATGACCGCTGATGAAGTCCATCAGTTAGGGTTTGAAATGCTTTACAAGCTATACCCCGAGGTAGGTTTTGATTTAATTTTCCGTCTATCTCTTAAAGTTTTTTTTTCTTGTTGTTCCCTCGTCGATGAGATACACTGTATGGCTGACGAAAGTACACGTTGTGCAATTTGCTTATTATTCATCTAGCATATCTAATGTCTCTGGATTTTTCCAAATTCGCATGCAAAAATCCGCCATAATGGATGGTAATAGGTATGCATATGGCTATAAAAAAATAGCCATCAAAGGAAAAAGAGTAAGTAGCTTCAAAAACAAAATTATCTCTCCTTAGTTGACTCAGTATGGCGAATTTTGGTATTTGGTTGCACGTTGGCCCTTAAACCTATATTAGTTGCTCTGCGTTTTTGTCATTGGATTAGTGCTCTTCCAATATTGTCGCTTGCTGTTTTCAGGTTCTTGAAATAGCACGTAATGTCAACAACGTAACTAACAACGACACGGCTAAAGAGCTGTTCATCAAAAGGCTCAACGATTCAGATATGCACTATGCTGATTACATACCTGCAAACGAAAGCAATACAGAAGCACATAACAATTGCAGCAGCATCGAAGGTGCCAAAAAATATTGTCCTAAGCGTTGGGCCGCGATGCAACGATGGTTTACAGATGCAAACGAGGTAGGTTTCGCTTCCACCTTACTCCGCACCTCAAAAAGAATCAATAACCTTCAGAAAGCCTCACCGCTAAATTTTATATTATGCTGAGTTTTCTTTTGGTTTTAGATTATGAGCATGTTGGACCCCAAAACTGTGAATATGTTCCAATTCAATGGTTATAAGCACACGACGCCCAACTGTCCAGTTCAAATGCGCCCAGACTTCAACCCATCCAGTGGATACAAGAGTTTCTCAGCGAGCGGCAACAAATGTTCACGGCCTGCCTACTATAATATACCATTCTTCAATGCTCGACCTGGGCCTAAATACGAAGAGATGAGTGTAAATGCGCACGAGGCAAGACCTGGTCACCATACTCAGGTAATTCAAACTATCCAAGTGGTACCTTCATGAAAACTCCCTAATTTCATGTGAGTCCGGTCACAAAAAATCAATTAATGATATCTCTAAAAACAAATTACCAACTTCACAAACTTTCATTAGCTCTCTTGGGCATCTTTCGAAAACCATTCATTTTTTTGGTGTGGTCCAATTCCCTG